ATTTGGCGTTTAAAGAAATATTTTAAATAATAAGCCTGAATATAAAAATCTGAAAACTTATTTTATATAAAATAATTATAAATAAGGTTTTTGAACTCGAACCATGCGTTTACTGATTGAGTTCATATTCAAGGCGCCCAATTAATATCTAAAATGTCGTTAGAGAAATGTTCAAATGAGTTTATATTTTCATCATTATAATTAGCACATAAAAGCACTAATTTTTCTGCACACTGAATCACTTCATCATATTTGCAAAATGTTTTTGTTGTGCATGTAACTTCTACATCATTAGTGTTGAAATACATTGAAAATTTCGGTAGGATTAAAGGTTTCCGATATAAGTCGGTATATATCTCAAGAAGTGTTCATTTCAGCCACCCCATGACCAGTTTCGAATCTATTAGCTCTCATCAGCTGGGTTTAGTCTGAAAATAACAGTCCCTAACGCATTTTACAACGGCATGTAACACAGCGCCCGATAATATACATGCACAAAAGTAGAGTATTTTTTTAAAACCAACTGAAGAGGTAATGTGTATGTTCAAAACCGGTCGTGGGGATCCTAAAATTAGCGCATCTCGATATTTATACCTACTTAAATAAAAATCAAGGGAACCCATCAGAATGAAAACGCTTTCAAACTCTTATTCGGCACATTAAGTCCGCCAAAAATAACAAAAAAGCTGCATGCGACTGTAAATGTTATTTCGAAAATGTACCAAACAGTGCATTGCAAATTACCTAGACTTCCCCATGCAGTTAAATAAAGCAAACATAAGCATGCGAAATAAGTTTAGTAAAGACCTGTGCAATGATGCTGGCCACTTGATTCTGATCGACTTGTGGGGCGACTCTTTTATTCTTTAGATGGTGAGGGGTGTCGCGTCGATGCAACTTCGACCTCATGCCGTCCTCCTTCGCTAAACCATCACTGTCTCCATCTGACGATATGAATCCAACGCGACGTCTTAAGAAGTCCTATGAGATAACCAAGACACCGTGGTCAGTAAGCGTGCAATATTAATAGAACCAAAGGTTAATTTGCATTCTCTAAAGGCTTTTGGGGGAGATTCATGAATAATGTTTCAAGTAGTGCGGATCGCTATAGCACCATTATTAATGGATGGCTTCCCCCCGGAGCTTTTAATCAGTACATGAAAACCAACAACACAAAAATGAACGTATCGATTCAATACAAAAAAAGACAACTTAATGAAACGATTAATGGCTGCCGTGGCATTAGGCTGAAGTTTCTTCGGGCGGAAACAGTCGACCATTGCCACAACTATCATCTCCTTAATAAGACTGGAAAGTACCACTTAACGAAGTAATAATAATGCGTCCTGTCTATACTTTACTTGAAGAAAAGTTCCTCTGTTATTCCAAACGCAAATAACGAACTGCGGGGTTAAGTGCACGTGCATCAGAAAGGTTAATTTAATAGCATGCACAAGAACTTTAAGTTGAAATTAAATAAATTGGTTTTGCAAATCACCAAGACGAAAATCTCTTGAAAGGTGTTGTTTCCAATAGGAAAAAAAGATCAGCTTGAACTTATAGATCAAATGATGTTTCCACCAAAAACCAATGAAACACATTTGATAATGAAATGGACGAGCAATATTTCAACGATATTGAGTTATTCTGTTAAATGTTAATTTAATGTAATAAAAATGATGTTGAGTTTTTAAATATTGTCTTGCTTCGAGTTTGCATATTAAATAAATGTATTTCAGGCTAAAAAAACGATTAAGTTCAAATTGAATTATTCCTGAACACTTGCTAATCTAAATGACCTAATTGCGTAATTAATCTAGGCCTAACCTAATTAATTAATTATATAATCTTTAATATGCAGATACAAACATTTGCATCCTGAACCACAAATTTGTATTAAATATTTTATATTCTACATCTGTTTTATCAATGATATGACTTGGACCCTTCTGGTAAAAAAATACAAGCTCATAACATGTCTTATCAGTGACAATGATTTGTGCTGATTTAGCTTTAGCTTCTTGCCAAAAAATGTTTACCCTCTCTTTCCTCTAAAACTGTCCCAGAAGAATGAAGTCATTTATTAAGCGTTATTTTAGGTTCTTTAAAAAGCAGAACCTAATCATTTACCTCTTAATAATTGTTAGTCAGATTATTTATCTTTTAGAAACGTGGGAGTAAAAAAGCTCGAATAAAACCTGCTTTTATCCGAAAAAACGAAACAATCTAATCCGATATAGAAAGTTAAAGCGATTGAATCGTTAAAGTGATCGGACAGTATCACCGATAAATAATTGTGGCAATAGAGTAGGCGTCCAGGAAACACAATCCATCCTTTGTGTTATATCGTCCTTGCGTTTGGTTTACGGTGTTATCCGCTCCATCTAAATGGTATACGATGGGGAATGCGAACGGGAATTGTGGCAAAAAATCGCCCAAGTACTGTTAGAAGGATGTTATTATTTGGCCGCAAGACATGACGTTTAGGAAAGAAAGCACGAGAACTGGTAATCTTCGGTAATTATTTCAGTCGTTACGTAGGAGTTGACGACGGCCTTTCGAAAAGATAATAGAAAGGCAAATGGGGATTCCGCTGTATTGCAAGATTAATTAGCTTTTGACTCTTAATGACACATGTAGGATTCTAAATTAATTATCAACCGCATACTTAATTATTTTAAAAAATTTTAATGTCAGCGGCAGTCTGGACCCTCCAAGATCAGCGGTGTAAAACGGCCGTGAAAACAATTTACACATTTTCATGTGAAACGATTCAGAACTTGAGCGTCCAAAGTTCCGAACCTGTTCAAACCCACCGCATACAGACAATATTACAATTTAAGGAAGTAACTGACAATCATTAAAATCACCATAATACTCATGAAACACGTAAAAGCACAGAACTTGGAAAACCCACACACAAAATATGAAAATATAGACATTCACAAATCTCAGATAGGTACTATCTTTGAACGGTTTCAATTGTTCGATTTTTAAATATCCAGGAAAACAGCCTTTCTTCACTTACCTCGTCGAGTTCTTCGTCTTGGCTGGGCTCACTATCCTGATGTCCATTTCCCACAACCATCACTGGTTCAGGTGTTTTAGCTATGGTTGCGGTTATTGAGGGCGGATTCGAAATGCGGGTGTTATTTTCAGCAACGGGTTGCTGAGGATGAGCTACATGCAGATTTATAGCTTCAGTCGCTTCTAAACGAAACAGACAATATAAATCAGAACGGAGGTCTAAAATATTTTCAATTGCATAACATGCTCATAATATGTGATTAACTACTGGGCTTTTTGATGTAGAAAAGCTATGAAGAATGAAAACATATTTATGATTTCGTTCAAAGAAAATGGCAACAGTTTTAATTAGAAAACATTTCTTGATAATGAAATTACTTTTGTAAAAAAACGCATAAATGGCAAAAAGTTATTTCATATGTATTTATAACCAGGAGCCCAAAATAGTGACTGGCATCCAAGTAGACCCTCGGCTAAGAAAGAAAGAAAGGATAATTTTCGTTCCACATCTAAATCACTATACACGCTTTTAATCCTGAGGTTCAGTAAATCATAGGGCTTTTCTGGGCTTAGAGAAGTTAATTGAGACATTTGGAACGATTTACCAATTAAATTGTGAAACAACATAGCTAAACTCACTTCTGGATTAATAATGTGTTATTTAGTTAACCGGAACTGAAATGTCCAGCACAAATTTCGTTGCTTAAAATGATTATATTACTTTCTAATATTGCCAAAGCTAGTTAAAAATTGAAATAACTAATAAAATAAATCACAAATAGCACATGCACAAACAATTATAAGTTACTCACCCAAGTCATTCAAAACTGGATTAGCAATTCCATCAGGATGATGATCAGAGTCCTCAAAAGAACTGTTCCCATGGCTATTTCCTTTTCCAGCAAATTTGGTATATTTGGCTTTCAGCTCTCGCGGGTGAGGCGTGTTTTGTCGCACAAATGGAGTCTACAAAACAGTGCCAATAAATACCACAAAACAATGTGAATTTTTACAATCGAACACCATATTTACCTACCTAAAATCACTATTTCGTACCCAAAAATAGAAAAAATAATTGTCCTTAAATAAAATCGTCCACCACTTAAGATACACTTATCAATGCACTTAGGATTACTCAATATTTTGAGTCGCAGATGAAATGTTGTAAAAATTTAAAAAAATTGAAAATTTTTAAAAAGCCTAAGAAATATACATTTCCAAGAAATCAGACTATAGAAGGGGTTATTTATCCCAATAATTTCTGCATGAAAAATGCAAATGAATTAAATTGTGGAATCCGAAATTGATCTCATATATGCAACATTTTCAAATGTCGATAAGACAGAGATACAATTAATAATTACATTTTTACAATTTTTTTAGGTTTAGTTTTGAAAAATAACAACAACTTGTAACTCTTAGTTCTGAAACGATTATAGATCCAAAACTACAAGTTTTTTTTTATACAATTTACTGTACCTAGACCACTTTGGTATGATAAATTATATCAGGTGTAAAAACTACAATTTAGTGATCTCCTCAAAATTTCCATGTAAAGAATACTATTTTTATGCACAAAAAATCTTGTAATCTTTCTCAATTATTAAATATCTATAACTTCGATCAGAAACAACTGTTATCCTATAAAAAAAAACGTTTGATTCTTGAGCACCAATATTTTGTAAAGATAGTTTGATAGACAAAATGTGAAATAACCTTTAAGATTTTCGATTGTAAATGCAAACATTGTTCTAAGTATAAAAACAGATATCAACAAAAATCTACCTCCAGTCGTCCTCCAAAAACTACTTTAATTCACTGGCGATAAGTTTTGAAATTTTCCTCCTCGAAACATAAACCTGGTGGTAAATATTATCATTTATCTAAGAAAAACTCAAAAACGAATTCTTCCAGCCAAATGTGTCAATAATGAGCTAATTGATGTATTCATTTTAGAGTGTGGCACCATAACCAAAAGCATTGTTCAAATTTTTGTTGGAAATATTATACCACCACCTTTCAACAAACGTGCTATTACAAATAAGGAATGTGGAGAATACAAAAAAATACTTGCTTTCTTCGCTATTTAAGATAATCTATGCATGCAAACATTGGCCTTCTAAGTAAAATACGGAAATTGCGTAAAAAGCAAGTACACATTTTACGACACCATAAAAAAACAGCCATGCAAATAAATAATTTATTAAAAAATATACAAAAATGTTAGTTAAGATCTACTACATACAGTGTCTATATAGTAATCAAATATTCGAATCAAAGAATTTTAAATGATACTTAACAGAGGTATGTTGGTAATTTAAAAAATCTGTTATCACACAAACAGTAAATATAGGATTTTTGTTAGTAAGTGATAATTTTAATTGTGTGAAATAAGTGTTACAATATAACATGTCAATAACTATAACCACAACCAGTATGAACATGCGTGTAAAAAATAATTGATATACAGTATACATTTCCAACAAAAAATTGTTCGGTTAGGTACACTTATGTAAAAAAATATTTTCAGAAGAATTACATGAAATCGCAATAACAAACAAATCTATAAATAATCAACGTTTTAAACTAGCCAACAAATAACAACAAGTAATTCTCGTCTTTTTAGCTAAATATTTGTGCAATTGATTTTCTTTAACAATCTATAAAAATAATATATTACTGTGAAAAAAACTGAAAATACTGATCGAGACAAGCGGATGCCATCGGGAAGGCTGCTATCATGCTCTATTCTTGAGCTCAGTCTTATAAAATATTTATTGGGATAAATAACAATGTGTATTATAAAAATGTTCAGTTAAAAGCAATGAAAGTAACCCGCCAAATAAATAGGTTAGTGATGAAATTAGAAATAAATTAATCCAATCCACGAAGAAAATGACGCCTAAAATGTTAAGAAGTTTTTTTAAGATTGATTTTCATTTTTTGGCCATGGTTCTATACTTCGAGAAGTGAAAATACATAGATAGATGTTTTTCCCATAGATCTCTTAGCATATCAAGAACAAACTGATCAAACCGGACAACAGTAACATACTGCTAAAAAGTCCTCGAAAAAATTTGACTAAAGTTTAAAACTAGCCACACTTAAAAAAATTATGATGATAAATGTATGAACGACAGGAAAAGATTAGATGTTTATAAATAAAACCGAGAATTTTGGTAGTACTAAGTATTTGAGTAGTTTTTCAAGCTATCAGAAAATGTAGTAATTTAATCAGTTGGGGAGTTAGATAATCCTGCCAATTTATTCCCACACTCCATATACAAATGCTCGTAATCTCAAGCAAATTGCCTGTGTGTGCTAAATTGAAGCACCACTTATTACCAACCATCAATTAGAGTTGAGAGAGACGATTTGTTTATGTAATCGCTATGGAACAACACATCAACTTAAATAAATGTTTATAGCGTAGAAAAATTTGAAAAATTAGAGGGAAGCCCAAAATTCTCCAAGCTTACTTGAACAGCTTTGAGTGAAAATGAAAATGCCGAAAAAGGTCATTGAGAGTATCACGTAGTTAGAAGTCACAATTGCAAACGAATTAAATATAAATAATGGAAATTTATAAGAAAACATCCAAGTATACATTTTTTTTAGTTAAAGTGTTGCCCGTTTAACCTCTAAAAAAGAAGATTTTTTGGCGCCACCTTGTTCATAAAAGTATGCTAAACGTACATCATAGTCAATCACTCAGACTTTAATTTTCCTCTCAGTTTATTGTTTTTGATAAACTATCATGTAAATTAATTTTATGACTGAACAACGTTCTCATCAACTCATGTAGTGGTGTATTTATTGAAGACTATTTAATGGATAAAATCAAAGCATTTCAAAATTTAACATCGTTAAAAACAACGCCAATGAAAATGTTAAATTAAAAGAACATGAACCCATAAAATGGGTGTATTGTTAAGCCAATAGGGAATTACCAAAATGCTATTTTCACTAGCTTGTAACCAATCATTTTGGGACAATTAAATTTAAAAAATCAAAAATTAAAATCTGAGTACTATAAGAGAATCTAAGATTTGTGTGATTGTTATGTACAAATGTTCAAAATCAAGATATCTAATTGGTCCTCATTGATAATTTTACTGGTTTTATATATTTTAATAACAAGACTATAAATGGGATGGGTATCTTCTAATTTTATAACATTTTGCCAAATATGGATAATATTTTTCCTGATATTTAGCATGGATTCGCAATATAGTCCAAAATCTCTTTTAACCGAAGCGCTACAGCAGCTGATATTATTATTGCTTGCATAGCAGAGTTAAGTCGGGTTTTACAAAATGGCTTCCATAAATATTAGCATGTAATGCAGTGGAAAATTCCTTTTAACGGCAAGCTGAACTCCCAAAAAAATCCTTTAGGAGAAATAACCATTTGAAATACGATTTCCCAGATATCTGCACAGAATTCCAAACAAAAACTGTAGAAAGAATGGAAATTTATGCTAATGAAGAAGTTTAGATCACTTGGATAAATGTTCTCTCAGTAGCCTCGTATTCTCTACTTTGAATAAATATCCAGAGTATAGGCTCCACGCTCCAAATTATTCGGCCTATACTCACAATCCTCTAATTTTCTGTTTCTAAACAAGACTAGAATATTTAACTTCGACGTTTTCACATCTCAATCAGACTTATTCCAATTACAAGATTTCAAACTATTCTGTTTGATAGCTAATATTATACTAAGTTTGTGATGGACGCATTGATGTCTTGAAACTTTTGGTACCTGAAACTTCGTTTAACTAAGTTTATTAATTAATTTAATTAAAATTGTATTTTGAATCTTATAATAGTCTAGAAGGGCGCTTGAAAATTTGTTATACATGACAAAAATAAAGTCATAGTTTTACTAAATAAATGCGTTACTGTGACTGATTGATGTTACTGTTATTCATATTCTAAATGCAAAGCAAACTTGATTTTAATCTTTAAAAAATAATCCAGCGAAAAAAGTATAAATATGTTCATTTAAACCTGGTACTTGATTTGAATGAGGGATGATATTCATATTACGTAACTTTTTATTCCAACTGTTCGTATTTTAGAGAACCGTATCAATCTTCTTACTTTACTATTAAATTTTTACTTTTTGCAATGGTTCTTAACTCGAAAACAGCAGTTTTTTGCTGATTCAATATTATTACCTTTATTAGTATTAATATTCAATATTGCAGCCAAAACATTTGCAAATTAAATGCAAACTTTTGAAGGTCGTAGTTTTTTTAGCAATTAGTGCAATGCTTTCATTCGTTTTCCGTAATTTTTTACGATAAAATGATCAAACTGAAACGAAACTAAACAAACTGCTCAAAAAAAATGAGCGTTACACGGCCCAATTTACCCTAAGTTTTGTACTGGATAAATTCTGAATTTTGCGAGTGAGTTAATTTATGTTTGAATCTTTCTTTTTCGTTTCTATCTGTCTGGGTTTTTGTAAAAATTAAGTGGTTCAGATAAATTTTCTACAGGGTAGTAAATAAAATAATGCACAATTAGTAAAAGTTCCAGACGCTCTCAGTTGGACAAAAAAATCTTCAACTTCAACGCCAAATGTATATCGATAACGCTTATCCCTCAAAACAGTTATTGAATTTTTGGGCTCGTTATAGCTTTTAATGCCTTTTACTTACAGGGTGGTCTCATAAAATCAACTTTTTGATCTTGCAGGAATAACTTTACTGCTTTTGAATCGGTTTTTACGATGTTGAACTCGTGTTGAGCTAAAACTGCATATACAAATTAAGATTGAAAATTCGATATATGTACAGGGCTACTTAAAAAATAACCCAAATTTCCTTCAAAATCTGTCGTTCCGGCAGACTGAATGGGTTGAAAAAAATTAAATAATTATCACTTCAAGACCAAAAAGTTGATTTTTCCACTCCAAAATAATCGAGATTGTCCCAAAATGTAAAAACTTCTTACGAGATACAAGGTATATCTTAATATCAATTGGACCGCCTGTGGTGGTCAAATACACAAAACGTTTTTTTGTCCAACTGAGAGCATGTGAAACTTTCACCAATTTTGCATTGTTTTATTTGCCACCCTGTAGGAACTTTATCTGAACCACACACACATTTCTTGCAAAAACACGCACTAACCGATAAAGAATAGCACTAAATAACGCTTCAAACAGAAATCAAATCGCTCTCAGTAATCAGAATTTTTCTAGTTTCAAAATTAGTTTTGTTGAGCACTTTAATTACTAATACTGTCGCAAAGTATGAGACATTTTTTGAAACCGTGCTTAATAAAAACAATTTTGTGATTATTTTTATATTTTTAGCTGGTTAATTTTTAATAAGTTGAGATAAAAAGAAACACTTAAATAAGGAACAGTCCTCATAACAAGGTTGATTTCATTCAATCATCTTTCTCTCGCCCCTTTTCCTAAAATAGGTTGGATATATGTATTTGATAAAACTTTAGAGCCTCTATTCATTAGCATCTATACCTATTTGCCACTTCACTATAAAAATCATGAAAAAGACTTGAAGTTATAGAATATTTTGGCTTGCTCCTTATAATACCCAGTCTCCATCGAGAGACACACATATATCGGGATCACCTTCTACAGGAGCGAATCAGACCAGAAAATTGAGATTTAATCCTGTTGAAATACTTCCTATTCGATCATTTTGTGGACTTGAAAAGAATGCATCCCTAGTGATTGGTGAAAATCGGCAACAAACCAACTGCCAGAAAACATCAGTGCAACCAATCCCGTTCATCTCCTTCCAGAAGACATGGTTTGATTCTCATCAGCTTTGGACTCAGCTTAAGCATTAATAGCAATCAACAAGCGCTTAAACATCATTAATGAAAATGTCATCGATATCCTTCAGGGTATTTAAACTATAATAACTATTGGTTCGGCTAAGCGATCTAGACCGAGCGCGAGCAGAGCAGCAACATCGCTCAAAGACCTCTTTGACCCTGCCGTACATTGTTATAAGCCACTCAAGTGGTGTGACGTAATACACTGACGATGTGGAGGTAGAAGGTGTATAATAGCTAACCTAAAAATTAAACTTTATACAATTCTTTCAGTCCACATCGGTTTTTCAGGACTATGTTCAGGCAAATGAACGCAAAACAGTGTGGAAAGATACAATGAACACACTCACCTCTTTGTTTTCCTGGTCTTGAGGATCCGTAAATTTGACACTGTGCAACCTGCTCGCTTCTTGTTCCTGCCAGTCGTCGGAAACGTCATCCTTGGTGGTGGAAGCTGTGATTCGGGACAAAGTGCCATTACTCAAACCGCTGTTCACATCACAACGATACAAACGGCCATCAGAAGCTGTGCGAAGCAGGGAAGAGACAACAACGGCAGCAGGGGTGCACACATAAAAAGAAAATGGGTAGGGTGCACAACAGTGGGTGAAAATAAACAAAGAAGTATAAACAAAACAGCATCTACAATGTCATAATAAAGCATGGATGACGAAGCCCGAAAAAAAATTGATATTCAATCAAATCAATACAATGCTATAGCTATTTCAAGTTTGAAGAATAAAAGGTTTTTGGAATATACATTAATTGTTTTTCATAGTGCTGTAAAAAACAGTGTGCCAAAGTGAGAATAATACAACGATAAGGCATCAGTATTCTTATTGAAAAAAATGGTAAATATTCGGATTAAATCATACAAAGACAAGTGCCTCGGTTTATTTGATTGCCTCTTGTAATACCATTTGAATTATGTTTTTGTTTCTTGCTTGGTTTGGAACGTATATCAAAACAAAATATCTTGATTTGAAACGCGCGCGATAACGACCCCTCCTTATTCCCTTATTTGTGAAAGATTATACGTGCAAACAATGCTGACACATTTACCAGTTCATAAGCTGATCACTTTTATACTGTACAATTTGTAAATGCCTTAAATACTCGAACTGTACAGAAAATTGTACTAATATTTAATAATTATTTAAAAGCGATACTAGCGTCTTGAAAGTTAACATTTAGTACTAATTAAAAAATATATTTTTCATATAACAAAATATTCTCTTAGACAAAATTAACATCATGATGGCAATACCAGATGTGGTTTCAATTCTACAATAATATTGGTTCAACTAAGTCACTTTTAAGTTTCACCACTTGGTCGTTCCTGACGCTAACCAATGAAAATCGTTGAAAATATTTCAACAGTCAAAAACTATTAAAATAAACACAAATGCAAAATATTGCCGATGCATGCAAGTTCAACTTAAATAATGTTCACATAAACATGTTTCTTCCGTATAAATAATTACAAAAACGATGTGATTTATTATTCATCCTAACTATAAATAATCTAAAGTTTTAGCTAAAAGTTAAAAAAAAAATGTATCTTCAGGTGACTAATAAAAAACCAGAACCAAAAACGTAAATCGGCTGCAGTTACTAATTATCACTTTATCAGTGATATTTTAGGCGATAATAAATAAATTTAAAATAAGATGGTGATTTGTTCACTCACGCCGTCAATCATCTGGAGACCATAGACCACTTTTAACAAAGTACAAAAACCATTAAAAATGCTGAACTGAAAAGTTTAAATTAGATTTTCAACTGTTAATATCTCCCAGATCGAAAAACATCGGTTCACATTCACTCAAAATGAAGCCCTATCATCCTTCTAAAAAAAATGACTATAAAACTGAATCACCCCGTAAACAGAGGAAAAAATCCATTAACATTTGTTTTATTACATCTGCTTGTCTATATAGGGTGATCCCTAAATAAATGTCGCAACAGAAAACTAGATTCTTCATAAAAAAGAAACACTTTTTCTTCTTTCATTTTCTCGTCGAACTACATGGTGTCAAAACGAAAATTATTTTTTTGTTTATTGCCAAAAGCGTTTGAACTGCAGGAATGAGCTTTATACACCTTACCACTATTATAACTTCTTTTAATAGTAGTAATGTGTGCCCAGCAGTTCAATCCAGTAAAAATACATTAAATTGTTGACAACCTGTATCTCCAAAACGCAAGCACGGAAACCAAAATGGAACAAGAAAAAAGTGCTTGTTTCTTCATGGGGAATCTACAGTTATCGACACTTATTTAGGACTACCCTGGGCCCATTATAAACGGACAATTAGACTCTGAGTCAGAAAACAAGAAATTACAGTTTTGATGGTTTTTATCGGTCACCTTGTATTTAAGCAATGTGCAAAAATTAAAATCCCTACTAGCGAGAAAATCTCAAAAAGCGCAATTAAGCAAATATTTCTATTGGATTGAATCGCATCAAAGGCACAGAGCAAAACATCACTTGAGTAAATGGTAGTTTGAGCATAAAATTACGAGAGCAAATAAAGCAGAAATCAGAGACTGAATCTTAACCAAGATAAACGTTATGAGCACATGTATGCAGACTTTACTGAGTATTCGTTCAAAAAGCCATTTGCGGTAAACCATAGGCGATCAAAAACATATTCCAATATTAAATGAATCTGAGTAAACTAAATAAATCCAAAGATAGATTTGGAAAATTGCCAGACACTTTACCACTTGAATATTTGCTAGTTGATTTATAAAAACTATTCGAATAATTTTGAATATGGGAAAAATTTAAATTCCAATCTAATTTAAACTATATTTCGATTCGACTACTATTCTTTCATAGCTAATGAAGTTTGTATTCTTTTTCCGACCCATGTGTTTCGCTCAAATGTAAAACGACTCATGTCTATTAGAAAATTTCAGGTTTCATCTTTAAAAGCTCGCTTAATTTTCCAGTTTTAAGAGACCACAAAACCAACATAAATTAACTCAAAAGCTCAGCACGTTCAAGAAACAACTAACTAAAGCTTTCAAAACACGACAAATGCTTTACGAGGATCATGTAAAAGCGAGCACATGTAAAAAATAGCACAGTTTAATGTTACTCTCAAATTAATAGTTTGACGAATAATTCCAAAAGCTTGATGATACATCACGAACTTCTCCAATATACAGAGCAGACATCTTTTTCCCACGTTAAATTATTTAAAGCATAGATCGTGATTATGAATAACTTTGAAAATATTATTAAAATATTTTCGCATTTAATGTCTAACAATAAAATTATAAACAGATAAAAAAAATTATTTTATTGTTGAAAAATTTTAAACAGAATAGTTTATTGGACTGACACACATATAATACATAAAGGATAGACTCGCTTTCGCGCATACAATCAACAGATTGATCACTATTTGAGAAAATCGTGATGTAACACTAAGCGTTTCCCTAAAAAATATAATAAATCAACCGCGCAAAATTAAATACTCACTTATGGTTGGTTGATACTCCTGTTGTGGCAACAGGAAGCAAGTGAGCACCGTTTTTCCAGTGTCTGGATCCGTATCAGTCTGAAACGTTAGCAAAGGCTGCGCCTGGTTGTCGCTTAACCAAACCGCCTAAAATTGACGAATTTTAACTGTTACTAGAAATGGCATGCATATTTTTATGTTTCTATTTACTTAAAAATCAGATTTGCCAAATTTTTGAACCAAATAGAATTAAAAATTAAACAAAAAAGTTTAGGAAGTAAACACCGATTCGGCCTCAAATACTTTTAAAAATTTTATTTTACAGCGGACGTATTAAAAAACTGTTCTATGAGGATAAAAATATTAAAGCTCCAGAGAGCGCAAAGAGGATAAAAATAAATACAGTCTAATTAAGCAATACTAACCTTAAGCCTAAGCTGAAGTAACGTATGAGGCAAATATGGAAGCCTATTGCCGGATACATCCAACACGTGTAATCGGTTACAATCGCCCAACGAGTCAGGTAACATAGTCAGTCTATTGTCTCGCAAACTTAATACTCCTAATTCACAAAGATTACCTGAAAAAAAATTACATTATATTATATTATATTATCACATCTCCATATTTAACTGATCGATAAATCTATGTTTCTCTCACTTACTTACCTATTTCTTCAGGTATACTCGTCAAACTATTTCTATCTACATTTAAGTTAGTCAACTTAACCAGTTTGCCGATTTCCTTAGGGAGCTCACTAAGGAAGTTTTCGGTTAAAATAAGCTCTTGTAAGTTGTGACAGCAGCCGATATTGGAATTTAATGAGGTCAGCCTATTTTGATCAACCTGAAACAACGGAAAGTTCATAAAACAAATGTATTTTTCGGTTTCAGTGTTAACAATCAAATCAATTTAGTGTAGTTAATAACAGGTAAATAAGAGAATTGAGTAAAACCACAAACAAATCTACTAAAACAACTGATTATGGTTGCATTAGTAAAGAGTTAATAATATTTTTTGTTTGATGAGAACTACCGTCCATAAATTCATTAACCCAGTTCAACGCCTTTTAGACCATATAATCTTCCCTTCAAAAACATTTAAACAAGATTTTGACTCACTCTAATGCTAAGTAACTAGGGACGTGATAAAAAAAAACTAGGAAAAAACGACATTTACATGTACGTGTTTATTCGATCTAAATGTTTAAATAATAGACACTATCATTATTTAAAGAAACAGGATGACGGTGAGACTTTCATAACAAATGTACAAGCGTTTGCAAAAACAGACATATTTTTCATTCGATCGACTACGCTTTCCAACCGCAGTATTTTCATTCAGTTAAGTTACAAAGTGTCGCGAATGAACTGAGGCAAAATTAAAGTGTGATATTTCAAATAAATACAATCAAGCCATATCATTAAAAAACTGCAGTTTATCATATAACCGACCGGGATCAAGAGGTTTCCATAAAAAAAATGAAAAGGCATTGAAACATCCTTAATTTTAAGAAATTTGCAACGACCATTAAGACTCGCTTTTTTCTGACTCAAAAGCGGTTGAAATAAACGGCCCTAAAGGCTATAAGAACAAATATTTATGTAAACTTGCATAAATAATTTATTTATAAAAATTATATTACAAACCTGGATCTTTCTTTGTTTTTTGGCATCGCGCCATTGAGCATTAAACCTTACAACTATTAAAATTATTTTATTAGTCATTCAAAAATGTAGCGATACTTCCAAAATTTGATAACATTATTTAATTAAAATAAATAGTGGACAGTAAAATTTCATATTTTATTTAAAACATTAATTTATTTTAGTTTAAAATTGATACAATGCCAAGGTAATGTATTTGTTCCTGCATTGCAAGTAATAACTGCCAAATTTTTCTCGATTTTCAAAGTGCTATAACTTTTTTTTTTAATGTAGCAGCTTTTACTCATTCATAAATGATGTGATTCAGAAAATAACATTTTTTTAACTAATGGTCGATATTGAAGTATTGTGTATATTAAAATTTAATTAGCGTATACATGTTAACGCTTGTATTCATTGACTATTTTACGCTAAAAAAAAATTATCGTCAAAAAAAGAGAGAGTTCAATTCTCAAAGTCTCTCAAAAGACGATTCGCTGAACCAATTAACTGTATTTAATAACTAAGCGTGGTAAATCACGTCTGAAAATGCCTGCCACAGAGAAAGGCTACGCGTCAAAGAGAAATACAAGAAAACGACGCCTTTGAAATCCGGAATTAGTTAATTATATTAGATTGTTTTATTTAATTGAAACATCATGTTATTTCTATAGAATTTTCTTTTCAAAGTACTGTTATTTGCCTGCGAGGTAATGTAAAATGTTGCTCTCGATCGATAAACGATAGTAAAAAAAAATTATGCAAACAAATGAAACACAATAGGTCCCATTATTGATACGTAATCAGAGAATATATCTATCAGAGAATGATAGTAACGATTTCGATTTAATCGAAAATGATACGAAACAAGGATAGCATTATTTATGGATTTTCCAATTTTTGCCTTATTTCAATAAACCAGTAATGCAAACACGTAGTAGTAAATTCAATTACAGCGATTCCTTCGGCTCCTTAAATATGAGTACAGATTTATTTTATTTATATGAAAATTGAGTGAGTCTTATGGCAATAAAACGTCCTATACATTAGTAAGTTTGTTTGTTTGTTATAAAAAAAAATAAAAACTGGCACTGTGGCCGCTTTTGCTTTCACAATTCGTCTGGTTGGTGTCCGATTGTTGTGAATTTACGTGTGGTTATTTACGATACTCCGTTCTTACTCCATTCCAAATATTTTCTAGGTTTCATTTTCACTTTTTCTTCACTTTGGCAGTCATCATCGTGATAACAAGTGAGCCTGTTTGTGAAATCTAAAGATTTCTTTCACTTAACAACTGAATCATTTGGGTCAATGACTTGGACATAACATAAAGATACCCATATCAACCCGAATTCCTGACTGAATTGTTTTGTTTGTCTTTTGGTCATTCTGGTTTCCAATCATCGAACCCTAGTAAGAAAACATCGTGTATTTACCTTTAGAATGGTAAGCTTTTCCAATTTTCCAATTCCATCAGGCAACATTTCCAAAACGTTCTGCGATAGATGAAGATCAGTTAAACTTTCCAGACCGGCAATATCCTCCGGTAAATACTCCAGCCTATTCTCGCTCAAATCCAAACAGCTCAGACTGTGCAGTTGGCCAATTTCCGCAGGAAGCGACTGTAATTGGTTATGATCCAACCAAAGTTCCTGCAGAGCTGGCAATTTACCTATGTGAGGTGGCTAAAACAATAAAATGTATTAAAAATATTGAAAAAATATTGTTAATTGTACAGTTGATCATTGAAATAGTGATAGAATAGCGGTTATGGAAACGGGGAACGCCTGAAAATCTGCAGAAAATATTAAATTTATTAGAGTGATTCGATTTATATTTTTATTATCATTACCAAGCGATTTTGTTAGAATATAGTATGAATATAATGGTATCGTAAAACTGCTAATAAAATTAGAGCTCCGATCGTTAGAGCCTTTATGTTTCGTTTTACAGAATAATTTAGTATGTCGTTCTAAGTCAGCTGGCTTTTTTTGGAACTATTAACGACAAAGAATGTTTTAGTAACCTGATGAATCCTTTAAAAATCTAACGTTTCAAATAATTATTTTTTACCTCACTTCATGGCTGATAAAGTCTAAAACATGAACATGAGGTAAAGGTAAAAAGGGAAGACGTTATCTCATAAACATCGAAAATGTTGCTAATTTGAAAGCCATATAAATCATCAATATCAAAATTTGTATGCAAACTTTTGTGCGAAATAATGCAATATGCTTTGCCGCATACAAAAAAATATTAACTCTTACCAATTCATCAATTTCGTTATCGCCCAAATCCAGTCGCTCCAAGTTCACGAGCTGGCTGAAGGATGCTGGCAGTTCCTTGAGCAGATTTTCTCTCAACTCCAGTGATATGAGGGAAATCAACTGTCCAAAGTCAGCTGGTAAGCTGGTTAGCGACATATCATTGAGGCCCAAAGTGGTCAATGATTTCAACTGCGGAAAGGTGCCCGGTAGTCGCGCGATCGGATTCGAGCTGAAATCTGCGATCCGCAAAGCATGAAGCTGACCGATGCCCTCTGGGATTTCGGGAATGTCTGCAAGAACAATAAGAAACATGAAAAAATTATAACAAAATCAATTAACAATTATATGATTAAGATGTTTTGCCTAATAGTATCTCATTTGCTTCCAATATCATTCACGGTAAATTAGCAAGAAAAGTCTAGATTAATTTGCATATTTTCGCACGATATTAATCTCGCAGAACAGAACAAGGAAAACACCACTCAAACATGCAACGACACGAAAACGTGTCAATCTAAAAATAATCAATTTTAACGTGAGTATTAAATTAGTATGTACTTTATTGTCGGCATCGAATTAGCGGTAGACTGGAGTGCAATGGGTGCCGATAATATTGCCCCGTTTACGTTTGTCAATAAAGAAAATACGTGCTCTTCTAAATACATATGTACTAATGAATTCAGGAAAATAAGACGCAATATGTTTTTATCAACGAGCAAAAATCCTATTATTTATTGATTACTGATAACAAACAAGAGACAAGTCAATACTCAAAATTTGAAAATAAGCTGCAAAACTCCAAAGTAATTAAAGCAACAACACAGGTTATTTTCAGTGCTGAATATTTCGGAACAGATGGAGCAAACTTTATTGAAGATGACCAAATCATAATCACAGCTCTCGAAGACGAGTAAAATAATCAGGGAATTAAGTAGAAAGTTATAATGTAGCATCGATTAATTGTTGTGGGACAGAACCAGCTTTAAAAAATACTAAGACTTGAAAATACATGTCTGAATAGGCATTGTGATTATTGCAGCTCTTTCAGACTGCCACCCACATGATGTAAAGTACAAGTTTGCAGGTTTTCATCTGTACAACAATCAGGTTTTAGATTGTGTCAGTAACAGGTTAATGAAATGGAACGGTTTAAACCGGCCGATAGGAAACTCTCGCCATCAACACCACCAACACTCATATGAACAGATGTTAACAGATAAGAATTTAATATTTACATATAATCCACATGGATCGTACATTGACATTTAAGAAGAACAAGACATTTTAAATCCAAAGCAAATGAATACTCACAAAATTAAGACCTAAATATTTAAAATAAGTAATAATACATAATGAAGTAAAAATTGATGAAAAATGATGAAAAAAAGTAATACGCTTACAAAAGAAAGTGTAACCCAGAGAGGTTCGAAAACAGGAAAGGAGATAGGTACTTGCAGGAAACCTCAAATTTGCATTATTTTGCTATTTACATGTATTTGGATTAAAGAAGGAGCACATGATGCCCTAAATAAGTTTTTTTGTGAGTAGGATTTAAGAGTTTACATCTAAATCTAAACAAAGTGTATTTTATAAAATAAGACAAAAAATTATTCCCTAGAAGGACTAATTAAGGAAACGGCGTGTGACTGAAAAAAATGTTTGCAAAACCAGCAAGTTTGAAACGAACTTTTGCTGCTTTGATGATGATTCCAAGATGCGATTTGAAAAGATTCCAAGATGCGATTCTATAATCTAAAAAAACATTTTACGCTTTAGCTCAAGGCGTTAGCGTAAAAGCACTAAAAAAATGAAAGACGAGTTCTCTCATCTTTCATGTATTAAGAAAAATTCCAAAATGTCAGAAAAATTGTGCCAGAATTGCGCATTTTCGTGTTAGCAAAACATAGGTACCCAACTCTACAAAATTTTGTTTTAAAAAAATCGCTCTAGAAGAACTGGTTAAGAAAGAGTGTAATAATAAATGTCTGTAAAACCAAAAAAATATCAAGGCATGATGGAAAAAAGCACAGCACTGAGATTTTACGCAATGATCGAGCAAACCTTGTCCTGGAAAATGAAAAAAAAAATTGGCTTCCCAACTCAATCTGGTAGAGTGCAACCAGACAGTTCCAATCCTTTATTCAAAATATTCCCAAAATAAGTCTACTCTATAAAATAACAAAAACAATCTTATTAGAAGCACCAAATAATGAAGGATGTGAAAAAATGTGTGCAAAACCTGAAGAGCTGAAAAGCACTTTTGCTGCCTGTTGCGAAAAATTTCCAAGAAGTGCTCAAAAAGGTTGCAAAAACATATTTCTCAACAAATAGCAAGAAGAACTTGTTCTGCGACACAAAAGAATATTCTAGCCTTCAACTAAACTCGATAGGTTCCGATAAATTTTTGAAAATTCGGGGTCCAAAAGCTCTCAAATGAAACGCGCAGTAGAAAGCGCCCTTATTCAAAAAATTCCCAAAATAAAGCCAAAAACATTTCGGCAACGAAAATTATGATGCTTGCAAAATCAAGCCAGAAATTGCATGCTTTAATAGATGGCGTAACACTGCATTTCAAAGGTTTGATTAATTATTTTGCATACTTGAAATGTTTTCTTAGCACAAGAAAAAGTGGCTTAGTTTATGCGGGATTTGTTGAAAACAGCCATCACTCATACAGTTTATTAAATGCAGAAGCTTACATATACTTTCTGAAAATGTTCAAATCTTGCAATAATATACTCAAATCTCACATTTTCATACTGTTAGTAATCACTTCTATGAGTTAAGTGCTAAGATTATCATAAAATGAAGAATTTTGTTAGAGCAATGGAAACTTCTTGGTAACATATTGTTCCCTACTTTCGGTTCCACGATTCCAGTTTTTAATTTCCAACTGCAGACTTGCAAAAAAGACAAAAAAAGAGTATTTAAGATAACAAATATTTAAAATACAGGGAAAGATGCAATATAAATAATAAAATTAGTAGATAAATAAACATAAAATAAAATAACAGATGCACATATTATGTTCTAATTCTAGCTTCATCAATGAGCTCGCAAAAACGGCTAGAAAACAAACTCGGGTTCAAACAGAATACAAAAATTTAGATATTTGCCAAAATCCCGTTGTAGAACTCTCCCGGACAAAATAATCACATTGATCTTCAATGAAACGCTGACAATCAATTAAACCGAATTAAATACAAAACTGTTTATGAAACTACTTTCCTAAAACGTCTAAACGATAAAAATGAAATTAAATAAATGATAAATTTGAAATGTTTTCTATCATTTAACCGCCTATGTACCTATCGCTTGCAAGCTTCAAGATCCCAATTGGTGCTGTACACATTCATAATATATCTAGAAGAACCTTAGATAGAAAACACGTGCCATTAATTGATTGTTTCATTAATGTTCCACTTTACTTTAAACTTCTACCAGACGGGATTTTTCCATATAATCAGAACGCCACTATTGCACTTTTTATGGAGATATTTTAATAAAAGTATAATTTACTTCGTAGTATCTGCAAACAAAAGCAATATATATGGCACTTCAAGGTACAATTTTATAATTTTAAAAATAGGACAGCATTCGGATTGAAAATAACCATGTAAATGACGGTCATCTTTTACGAATCTTTATTTGCTCATCTCTTTCGGTTATTAATTCGATTCAGGCTGTAACCTTTTTGAGCTGACTTGCGGTGAGAATCGTATAGTATCATTTAACACGGATTACTGCCTGTGTTTATCATTATAATTAGGATTCGTACGCACTACTCTCAATCTGAACGTGTTAATGTGTGAAGTAAATTACTAGTTGCATAAATAAATACACGTTTACAGGCTATTTAAATCAACAGTTTTGAAACGATCATCTGGAATCAACCTGGTGTAAGTGGTACGACATAAATTCAAGGACTCGGTATTAAATTCTTATTGTTTGCTGGTGGACGTTTCAAGAAGTATTTGCATCTACTTGATATAACGGCTGCCTCGTAATGAAATAACACAATAAAACTTTAGTTTACATTTTTTTTAGATAGATCAATTTGTCATGATAATAGAGAAAACGATACAGAACACATAAAGACTAACTAAGTAACTAACTAAAAAAACCCAAGTCTATACATAAATTATTTGCGCTCTAGATTCAAAAAAATTATTATATTCTATGCGTTTTAGCACAGACAAATCAATAAAATTGGTTGACATTCACCATATTAAAATGCTTTTAGTGTTCCCTCTGTATACTTTAAAAATTGTTCTTTGGTAAAAATGTTTAACTTCTTTAAAAGGCAGAATACTGTTAGCAGGCACAGTTAATTACATCTGTGTGAAAATCTGTGGGCACTAGTACTAAAATAACTAAATTTAAAAAGTATTTACAACTTTCAAATTTAGAAAAATCAACTGTAAAACAACTTTACTGGCAGCGAAGATGCTAAAAACTTTAGAGGCCGATCTTATAACACCTGAATCTATCTATGTCACAACATTCTTAAGTAATAAAGCAAAAGTATTGATTGAATTTGTAGTTGCACAATAGTTACGCAGCATTCTACCTACATAAAGAACGTCTTAACCTTAAGACGAAACGAAAATTTAAAAGGAAATCGTCGATTGCAGCTCAAGGAACAACTACTCTGGCGGGACACCCGGATCTTCTATTTTCGAATTCATCTTTATGTATGTTTTAATGCTTGCCCCGCTATTTCGCTATGGAAAAGTTCAACATTTATGGTATTTTGCTATTTTTGGTAAAATGGTGCACATTTACTATTTGGAAACTAATAATTGACAAAATCCTCAATGAAGTAAATTTAGTGAGCATATTTTTTGTTTAATTTACCGAACAAGTTAGTCAAAATATAGGGGAATATAAAATAATAGTGTAGAGGGGAATGGGAATAGTGTAGAGGGGAGGGCATATAACGTGTCCTAAATAAATAAATTCACACCTCTAAGGGTTGCGAAATCATTATCCAACTAGAGCTCCAAGAATAAGCTTTTTCAACTGGTGCATTATCGGGATTCTTTAAAAATCAATCAAAACTTTCGGGCTTTAGAATATGTAGGTCAAAAACTGAAAACTTATCAGAAAATGCACTTTCTTTAATTGTTCAGTTTGGAAACGTTTACGTGGTATAAACGATGACAATATTCTGCTTTAAGATGCGGACGGTTTGCTTTGGCTGGAAGGAACTGAAAACATGTTGAGCATAAAAGTGTACAATGTTTACACCTAAATCCTTTCAGTGCAAACAACCTGATTTAGTCCTGAT